ATCACTATTCTTGCTCTGCTTATGTAAGTAATAAGGCCAAGTTTATTAAAACTGGATTTATTTTGCAAAGAAATTAGTAATAATTTGGTGCTTTTTGGTAAAAATGAGGGTGATTATAGAAAGAACATGTTTCAATAGCACATCTTTGTAGCTATTAGATTTTAATACTATTCATTATAAACTGGACTTGATTCTGATTTCTTTCTTTTTTTTTTTTTTAAAAAGACACATTTATTCAGCATCATGATCGGACTATTACATTTAGCAATCAACAGCATGGGTGCAAAAAAAAAAAATCTACATTAAAACCCTTTGTTGGAATGCTTTACACTTTCCACAGAACAGAAACTAAAATAACCTGTTATACAATTAGTCACAAATACAGTCCTTGAGTTTTTTGCCCATACACATGAATATTGTCTAAAACATGTCTTCTTTGTAGCAGCTAGGCCCTGCCACCACTGTGCTTGGCTGAGTTCACAAATCTGTTGTAACCTGTAGCTTCCCTGTCACTTCTCTGGCTCTCCTCTCCTGCTAAGCTTTGTTTCCTGGCAGTAATTAAAACCTTCTGCACTGCCGTAGCTACTGCTGCTGCTGGAACCACCATAGCCTCCTTGGTTTCGTGGTTTGGCAAAGTATTGGCCTCCACCACCATAGGGGCCAGAGCTTCTGCCTCCAAAATTTCCTCCTTTCATGGGTCCAAAATTTGAGGATTGATTGTTGTAATTGCCAAAATCATTACAGCTTCCGCCACCTCCAAAGTTGCTTCCATCATTACCAAATCCGTTATGGCCATCCCCACTGCCACCATATTCACCACCACCTTGACTGCCACCAAAGCCACCTCGACCACTGAAGTTCCCTCCACGACCAAAGTTGTCATTCCCACCAAAACCACCTCCACGACCACCATCAAAGTCTCCAGAACCACTTCGACCTCTTTGGCTGGATGAAGCACTAGCCATCTCTTGCTTAGATAGGGCTTTCCTTACTTCACAGTTGTGGCCATTCACAGTATGGTATTTTTGAATGACAATCTTGTCTAGAGAGTCATGGTCATCAAATGTTACAAAAGCAAAACCTCTCTTTTTGCCACTGCCTCGGTCAGTCATGACCTCGATCACTTCAATTTTCCCATACTGTTCAAAATAATCTCTTAGATGATGTTCTTCAGTGTCTTCTTTAAAGCCACCAACAAAAACCTTTTTCACAGTTAAGTGGGCACCAGGTCTTTGAGAATCTTCTCTTGAGACAGCCCTCTTTGGTTCCGCAACTCTTCCCTCCATCTTGTGTGGCCTTGCGTTCACGGCCGCATCCACCTCCTCCACAGTGGCATACGTGACAAACCCAAAGCCTCTGGAGCGCTTGGTGTTTGGATCTCTCATTACCACACAGTCCGTAAGCGTTCCCCATTGCTCCAAATGGCTCCTCAGACTCTCATCGGTTGTTTCAAAGCTCAAACCTCGATGAAGAGCTTCCGCAGCTGCTCAGGCTCTTTGGGAGACTCTGACTTAGACATGACAGAGGTGGGAGGGGAGACTTTAACGATGCTTACTCTGCAGTGTCCATGGGCAGAAAAGCTCTTTTTTTTTTTTAAAGATTTTATTTATTTATTTGACAGAGAGAGACACAGCAAAAGAGGGAACACAAGCAGGGGGAGTGGGAGAGGGAGAAGCAGGCTCCCCACCGAGCAGGGAGCCCGAAGTGGGGCTTGATCCCAGGACCCTGGGATCATGACCTGAGCCGAAGGCAGACACTTAATGACTGAGCCACCCAGGCGCCCCTTGATTCTGATTTCTTTTAGTATCCTCTAATGCCTGGCTACCACTCTTCAAACTAACACTTTGATTTTTCTCCCACCTTCTGACTTAGAATCATTTGAGAATTAAAACTGTCCTTTTCCCTGAAGCTCTGCAAACTGAAAAAAATAAATGATGTAAAGAAATCACCACAACAGCTCACGAATAGACAAAATCTTTGTGCCTAATTGTTTAGTGGGTCACTGAAGGATCATCAGAGACATTTGAGCTACAAACTAGGATGAGGAGTAGGTGACATTATAGACTGATTTCCCAAGATTTGGGACCAGGCTTGTATTTCTACTCTTTTTTTTTTTTTTAAATTGTGATGTTAGAACATAGTAAATCTACTTGTTTGCTTTCACCTCCCCCTTTATTATGTCCTGATAAAATATCATGGTTACTTGCAGATTTAACTAATATAACTTTGAGTATTACCAGAGTACTTTATTATGATGAGAACTTAAATGAAATATTTATGACCTTTTGGACTTACTCTAATGTTCCTGTAGCTACACTGGTGCTTATAAATTACCCCTATTAGGAAAAGCCTTTCAAGAAGTGCTACATAACTCAGATTTAACCTATATATATATATATAATACTGTTGAGTATATATAATACTCAACAGATTGACCATTGTGTCTCTATAAACTTAGATGATAATGTATGAAGAAAGGTCCCCAGGACCTTTGTTGGACAAATTTAATTGTCCAACATGCCAAATTATCCAGTGTACTCACAAACTGTGCTTTTGTAGATGGAGCGGCCCAAGACAAAATAAGAAAAAACAATGGGCATCTATCAAAGATGCTACTTTAAGAGTGACTTGGTGGATTCAGCCATCTCCTAAATCTAACTTTGCCATTCATCCTAGAAGATTCTGAGGTAACTATGGGTCAATGGCCTTCTTTATTAACCGCAGAAACCCAAAATATACAGCCCTCCTAATCTGTGGAAAAATCATTAAAGACCCTTGTAACTTATATAAATGTTCAATTACTGCCTTGGTATCCAAACTTATGGCTAACTAGACTTATTTCAGTGTCATAATGGGAATAGAAACTATTATAAATACCACTAAAGTTCTTGCCATTGGAAGAAGATGGGCCTTAATAGGCAGTGATTCTTACTGGATTCCTGTGTCTTCTGATATCTGTGAATTCAGGAAAAATATATGGTTAGGCCCTAAACAACAATGGAGCCCTGAATTCACTCCAACTTGGCCTGTACAGGCATAGCCTGTACAAACTAACATATGGTATATGGGAAAGAAGATGTTGTTGGGAAGGTTTTCAAAACACCTCTGCAGGGGCGCCTGGGTGGCTCAGTTGGTTAAGTGTCTGCCTTCAGCTCAGGTCATGATCTCAAGATCCTGGGACTGAGACCCGTGTTGGGCTCCCTGCTCAGTGGGGAGTCTGCTTCTCCCTCTCCCTCTGCCCCTTGCCCTCCCCCTGCTTGTGCTCACTCTCTCATTCTTTCTCTCTCACTCAAATAAATAAATTCTTTAAAAAAAAAACCCCACCTTTGTAATACTCCTTGATTTATTTTGTAACAAAAGTACTTTTCATCCTAACTCTACTCCTATATGGTGTAATACTGGCTTTCTATCTCAAAAAGAATTGCCTGATTCTAACAAAAATCATACTAATATTGATATTGATGACCAAATGTTTTGGGAGATAGAATTACAAACACCACAAGATGTAATATCTATGGAAACTAACTGGCCAGAGAAATTGTTACATATAATAAGAGAAAATTTGGGCACCTGGGTGGCTCAGTTGGTTAAGTGACTGCCTTCGGCTCAGGTCATGATCCTGGAGTCCCGGGATCAAGTCCCGCATCGGGCTCCGTGCTCAGCAGGGAGTCTGCTTCTCCCTCTGACCCTCTGCCTTCTCATGCTCTCTCTCTTTCCCAAATAAATAAATAAAAAATCTTTTAAAAAAATAACAGAAAATTTAATTACCATTTTAAACCAATCAGCTCAAACATATCACAAGGCACAAATAACTACAGATAAAGGAAATAGATACTCAAGCTAATTCAATACCTGTAATGGATTTTTTGGAGGGATTCTTTTCTTTCTAATTCTGTATCTAGTCCCTATTATTTGCTTCAAATGTTATTAATTCGATTTTTATTGCTGTTTTTGTGTTTATGTTATGTTACAAAAATGCAAAGGCAAAAATTCATTACAAAGTACACATACAATGTTTGCATGACGATTCGATCTGACTGAAAAAATATATATATACTGTAATATTCCCTGTTAAAGGCCATTCTGTTGACAACCCCCCCCCAACACATAGACTCCTAGGTGACTTAAATCCAACCTAGCGTTGAGGGGTATGATGGACCCACGGCAGGTAAGCAATCACTCAGGCATCAAGGGGCAAAATAATGATCACCAATGCTTTCTGTCAAAAGATTATTGATCAAAAGGGGGAAATGATGAGAGAAAAACTTTCTAAAGCCCTAATATACAAGGAACTCCATTTCAGATTTCTTTCTCAGTCAACACGACTCTTAAGAAACTTTGTTCAAACCAAAAACTTGATTTATGGTCTGCCACCCATGCATTGTACATCTGCTTTGTGAATAAGTAGCCTAAAGGAGAACCATCTTGTCCTTAAGATACTGATCAATGCTGCTGTTCCCGGCATTCCTCTGTGATAAAACTCATGATTCCTGCCTATATGCTAATCTATAAGCTTTTGAGCCTGTACAAGATGTAAAAAAAAAAGTATATAACCCTGTAAAAACTTCTCTAGAACACTTTCTTCCCTGTGAGGAGCATGTTTCCCAGGCAACTGTCCTAACTTGGGCTCAAGAAAACTCTTTCTTACTTTTAGAAATTCTAAAAGATTTGCTCATTTTGCAAAGAGAGTAGAACCACAGCTCCTTGATTCCCTTGATTGGAATTTGTTCTCAAAATCCAACCTGGGGCGCCTGGGTGGCTCAATCATTAAGCGTCTGCCTTCGGCTCAGGTCGTGATTCCTGGTTCCTGGGATCGAGCCCCTCCCACGGGTTCCCTGCTCGGGGGGAAGCCCGCTTCTCCCTCTCCCACTCCCCTTGCTTGTGTTCCCTCTCTCGCTGTCTATCAAATAAATAAAATCTAAAAAAAAAAATCCTTGGCAGAAGGGTCAACTAAATATCTCTTATTTTATTTTTTCTTACTTTATTTTTCTTATTTATTTTTAGAGAAAGAGTGGACCCACGCACACACATGGAAAGGTGGGGTGGGGTGGGGAGGGGCAGAGGGAGAGAGAGAGTCCTAAGCAGGCTCCACACTAAGTGGGGAGCCCAGATCTCACAACTCTTGAGATCTTGACCTAAGCCAAAATCAAGAGTCAGAGGCTTAACCATTGAGCTGCCCGGGCGCCCCCAGGTAAATATCTTTTGCTTTATCTACTATATGCAAGCATGAATTGGGATTATTTTGCCATAAAACTTCATTTCACCTAAACTTAGGTTATTACAAGCTGATTGTAAACAGTGCCTTCTGATTATTACTTATTTTTTAGGTATGCAGCTTTGTAAATTGTTTAGATTTACTTCAGTGTTTTGAAATATAAACAAGACATTTCACATACGATTACAAAACGTTTCTTTTTACAGTCACTTGCTACTATAGTTACGGTAGTTTTCCGTTTATGGAGAGGCTTATTTTAAAATAAATTTATCTAGGAATAAAAGTGAGTCAATTTAAAGAAAGCACTCATTACATAATTGTAACAGGTGGCTCGCAGCTACAATAAACCTAGAGCCGGTGGCAGCCCAACCACCAGAGCCTGGAAAACTGCAGCCAGGAGGGTGGTGGGGAGCGTGCGGAAAGGCTACGGAAACCGGAAAGGCCAAGGAGTAAGCTGGCAAGCGTCAGCCAAGACCAAATGGAAAAGACCGCCCTGCCTCCAGGCCCAGTGTGGTACAGTGCGCAGGCGCGGCGGTGCGCCTCCGCGGCCTCTGGGCCTCACTGCGCAGGCGCCCGCGCGGCGTGGTCGCCGGCGTGATCCCCATGGAGTTACTTTAGCAGAACCGGCACCTCCGGGAGCATCCGGGATGAGCGGCGTGGAGGCCGACCGCTGGGCGTGGCTGCTGGTGCTTAGCTTCGTGTTTGGGTGCAATGTCCTCAGGATCCTCCTCCCTTCCTTCTCCTCCTTCGTAAGTGGCTGCCTTGCCTTCCAGGGGCCGGGGGGTCGCCGCCTCGGTCCCCGGCGAGCCTGGCGTAGACACGGGGGTCTCAGACCGGCCGCGTGAGGGCGGGGTTCCGCCAGCAGAAGGGTCTTGGTTGGGCCGTTCTGCTTGAAGATTTTTTTTTTTTTTTTTAGTTGCTCGCGCCTGAAAATTGCAAAGCTTTACCCCCAAATCCGGATTTCTGGAGTCTCAGGGAGAAAAAAGAATGACCTGGCAACACTTGGCTACGTTTTCACGTGGCAGCAGCCCGGAGACGAGAAGTTCTCAGTGCCCCTCTGCCGGCCAGCCACACTTATTTCCGTTAGCTCCTGGTCGGTGGAGGAATCAAGCCGCCCTCGCTGCTAGGGTCCAGAGCCTGGCGCGGCGCGGAGTACAGGGTTTCCCGGAGGCCCTGGCCTTCCCTGCACGTAGTGCCGGAGTGCCAGCCGTGCCAGGCCTCAGATGGAAGGATCTCAGCCGCCCGCATTTTTGCGGTCGGGGGCAGTGTAGACAGAATCTCGGCACCGTGTCATGCTTCCTGTATTCAAGAGAGCAAAGGGCACCGGGGAGCAGCTCTCTGCCGTGCGTTTTGCGTAGGCATGAGTACATTACCTCGTGTCTAGTTGTCACGGCTGCTGTAAGATGCGAATGTCATCTCATGCCCCTTTACCTCCCAGAGGAGGAGTCTGACTCAGAGGGTCAGGTAGTTGCATTGTGTGTGACTGCTAGGGTGGAGACTGATCCTTGGTTTGTGATTCTCCTAGTTTTGTCCCTCTGCCTGTTGGAGCATGGATATAGGTTTGGTGGCAGATTGGAGGTGTGTGTGGGAAACAGGGAGCTGTACCTGGGGAAGGGCGCCCCCTTTATGCCCACAGCCGGAGTCTGACAGACTGAAAGACCTCAAAGACTGGGGGGCACGCCATTGTAGCATTAGTAGGGGAAACGCAGTGCTCCCTGCTCTTACCTCCTGATGTAAATTTGTGGTGTGTGGGGGGAGGGGGTGTTATTTAAGACTAGGCGGAATTTCTACTTTCTTTCTTCTACCAGCATTCATTGAGTGCCTGTTGCATGTACAATTCTATTCTAGGACTGTACTACCTGCATTGCCCAGCTAAGGCATAGGAGATTCTCTTAATCCCTCACTCTCCCCTTGATACTGCTTAGTCTTTAAGATGATGTCCCAAATACTTAGCATTGCATAAAAGACCCTCGAAGAGCTGGCCTCTTTTTTTTTCTTTAAAAAAGAATGTAAAATATACATAAAATTTACCATTTTAACCATTTTTGGGTGTATAGTTCAGTTGCATTAAATAATTCACATTGTTGAGCAACCATCACCACCCTCCATCTCCAGAACTTCTCCATCTTCCTAAACTGAAACTGTCCATTAAACAGTAAGTCCCTCTCCCTCTTTCACCTCAGTCCTGGCAACCGCAGTTCTACTTTCTGTCTCTATGAATTTGACTGCTCTATCTCATGTAGGTGAAATCATGCAATATGTTTCCTTTTATGCCTGGCTTCTTTTCATTCGGCATAATGCCTTCAGGGTCTGTCCCTGTTGTAGCATGTGTTGGGATTTCCTTCCCTTTTTTTTTTTAATATTTTATTTATTTGAGAGAGAGAGTGAGAGAGAGAGAGCACATGAGAGGGGGGAGGGTCAGAGGGAGAAGCCGACTCCCCGCCGAGCAGGGAGCCCGATGAGGGACTCGATCCCGGGACTCCAGGATCATGACCTGAGCCGAAGGCAGCTGCCCGACCAACTGAGCCACCCAGGCGCCTGGGATTTCCTTCCTTTTTAAGGCTTAATAATATTTCATTGTCTGTGTATACCACATTTTGTTTATCCTTTCATCTTTTGATGGACATTTAGGTTGTTTTCACCTTTTGGCTATTGTGAATAATGCTCCTGGAACACTGGTGTGCAAATACCTGTTCGAGTCTCTGCTTTCAGTACTTTTGGGTAAACATCCAGAAGTGGGATTACTGGATAATATGGTAATTCTATTTTCAACTTTTTGAGAAACTGCCCAGCTGGTTTCCGTAGCAGCTGCACCATTTTGCATCCTCACCAGCAACATACAAGGTTCTAATTTTTCCACAATTTCCAGCACTTGCTATTTTGTTTTGTTTTGTTTTTATAATAGTCATACTCAGTGGATGTGAGATGGCATCTTATTGTGGTTTTGATTTGCATTTTCCTAATGATTAGTGATGTTGAATATCATTTTATGTGCTTATTGGCCATCTGTATATCTTCTTTGGAGAAATGTCTGTTCAAGTCCTTTGCCCCCTTTTTAATGGCGCATCAGGAGCTTGTCTGTAAGGGAAGGGCATCCTCTGTGGACTCAGAGCGGAGAGTGAGTGGGTGTTTGGTTTGTTGTTGTTGGGTGAGGAGTTGTTTACTTAACAGTAAATATTTGTAAATATTTTCTCCTGTGATTTGCCTGCCCATCTTTCTTGAATATCACCTTGATTCTTCTTATGTACCCCATCCCATTTCACCTCTTGTTGGAGCTATATGAAACTAAATTGCTTAAAGAGGCTGTGTTAGTTTTGTATTCCTCTATGACTTGCTCATAATTTCCTTTAGTGGAGGGGGAAAGAGGAGTGTGTGTTTGGGGTATGGCAGTGGATATAAGTAGGACCTGTCATCATCAGGCTCCTTAACCAAGCTTCCACCAAACTGGTGCTCAGCAGCTAGGACACACTCACCAAGGGTTATTGCTGCAGTCTAGATGTACGTGAGGCTTGTGTCCCTCGATGTTCCTCATTTAGGTGAAAAAGCACTGGGTTCACAATCTGTGCTGCTTCCCACAGGTTGTATAACCTCTGTAACCTCAAACCAATTAGCTTTCTTGAACCTGTTTCCGCTTGGTTGTAACGCTATTTGTCAGGGTCGTCACATATACTTACCTTAGCAGAGTACAGCCCCTACTGTTGGTGTTTAGAACAGGGAAAAGTAATGAAGAGATCTGTGCCGCCCGGTCACTGGGTTTGTGGTGAGGGTCAGTGTAAAGCCATAAGGAATGCTCTGGTCCTCGGTAGGGTAAGATGCTATTCTTTCATGACCATTAGAGGCTGCCTGTTGCAGGCCCTTTTGGAGGACCTGTGGGAAAGACTCCCGAGGAGAAACAAAGCTTGATTGGGAATGGGCCATGTCCTACGTCAAATATAGCCTTCCTGCCGGTGTTTCAGAAGCATTTTCCACGCAGCCAGAAGGAAGGGGGGGGCGCACCATCCCGTTAGTCAGGTAGGCTGGTTGAGGCCCTTGAATAAGTCTCCTAAGTATCACAAGTGCTCTGCCTAGCAAAGCCGTGCAGGGTCCTGGGCGGGGACCTCAGCTGAATACTTGGGTAGAGGTGGGGGCCTGGAAGAGGACACCCAGTCCCTGGTGTTGACTTGGTTGGAATTTTCTTGAGAATTCTTAATTCTCTTCAAGCTGGTCACAGGGCATATGGATGAGAGGGCCTAGGTCATTTAATAGGTAAACTAGGACTTCAGCCAAAGGCAGAGGAAGAGGGAGACAGAAACGCTCCTGGGAGCACCCATGCGCGCGGGTGTAGGGAGGCGCACTGCGCAGGCGCCTCGCGCAGGCGCCCCAGGCCTAGCAGTGGCAGAGGACAGAGCGGCCGTCCTGGCGAACAGTGCACTGCGCATGCGCCCCGGGGACTCCGGTGGGAGGCGGGGAATAAGGAGGCGCACTACGCAGGCGCCCCAGGATTGACGTGGCTGAGAGTGGGTGTAACAGCCCCTCCCTTCCGGGGCACCCCGCTTTGCAGACCCTGGGCCTGGGCCCAGCGCAGGCTGCCCTCTGGGATTTGGCTTGTGGGGTGACTGCCATTTTCATATATGATGACTTTGAAATTGCCTTCATTTTCTGCTCTAAAAAGTGGCCGCCTCCCTTTCCTTCCGGGGGCCCAGGCCTCTGAGGCCAGGGACAGACACTGCAGGACCTGCTTGCTGCTGTAGGGGCCTTCCTGAGACCCTCCCCCTTTCCAGGGAGCACAGTTGCCTCGTGAGTTCCTGTGTGGACCACCAGGCGTGAGGATGGCCAGCGAGTATTAGTTGTGGGGGTTGAGTGCACATGCGCAGTTGGGGCCTCGTGGGTGCGGTCGTCAGGTGCCCGGGACCAGTGCTGTGCGGACGGCTCCAGACTGGGGGCCCTCATGTGGGTCTGCAGCTTCGCAGGAGTCTTGGTCCCTTCCCGGGATGAGCAGTGCGTCGCCAGTATTAGGGACACATCTAAGTGGGCAACCCCCGCCTGTCATTCCCCTGGTGACCCCTGTGTTTCAGGAGGGACGAACCTTTGGGCTTAAATGTCATTATACATTGATTTTCGGATGGGTCTAGTCCAGATGCCAGCCACTGAGTGGTGAAGTGGGATTTGACTCTTCCCTGGTGTGACTCCAAGTTCAAAACGTAACATTTTGTCTGTTGGGAAAGGGGTGTGGAGCTTGGACAGGATCTGAGGGTGTCTGGTGGGCCTCCGAGCTCATGCAGGCGGCAGCCAGCGTCGGGGGGACAGGGGTGACGAGGCGGCTTGGTTCTACCCTTGTTTTCGCCCCGGCTTCTTCCACTGCCTGTCCTCTTAATAAGAATTTTGAAAAACTTGTTTTCTGCTTGAGAATTCTTCGTGTACCCATCTCCAGGTCTTTGAAAAGCTGTACCCCATGTAGCTTATCTGTTTCTGTCAAGTGGGAGGTTTAATGTCCTGGAAGGTGCTTTGGAATACATAAGGAGGTCAGAGGTTTATTTCTGTTTGAAAAATTAATATTCAGAACACTTAAATTCAAATCTCATTAGATTTTAAAATTTAATTCGTAGTTCTAGTACATTTTAACTGTCACTAATAAGGAGGTCTTGGATTAATATTGGTACCTGTTTGCAAGTTTAAACACTTCCAGAGGGGCGCCTGGGTGGCTCAGATGGTTAAGCATCTGCCTTCGGCTCAGGTCATGATCCCAGGGTGCTGGGATCGAGCCCCACGTTGGGCTCCTTGCTCAGTGAGGAGCCTGCTTCTCCCTCTGCCTCTCTCACTGCTCGTGCTTTCTCTCTCTCTATCTCTGTGTCTCAAATGAATAAATAAAATCTTTAAAAAAAAAAATAAACACTTCCAGATATTTTTGTGTACTTGCAGATGTCATTTATTCATTTTCCCTCCCAACTACAGTTGTCTAATTTAACCGTAAGATTCTAAACTTCTCCACAAGCTCATTTTCCAACCCTCACTCACCTTCTAGTCCTGAGTAAACATCTTTGGTCTTTTCAGTTTTTAATTTTTTGTGTGTATTCTCTATACTGTTAAGTAATGTGCTTGTGCTTCTGTTTCTTCTTTTGAAGATCTGGTGTTAAAAGTCAGGTTTATTGATGTGTAATTTGCATTCAGTGACATTCACTGTTTCCAGGTAGGTGGGCAGTTTGATGAGTTTTGGGCTACTTATTCATAGGGTAACCACCATCACAATCAAGATAAGGAATTTATTTTTATTTTTTAAAGATTTTATTTATTTTTCAGCAGAGAGAGAGACACAGCGAGAGAGGGAACACAAGCAGGGGGAGTGGGAGAGGGAGAAGCAAGCTTCTGGCAGAGCAGGGAGCCCGATGCGGGGCTCGATCCCAGGACCCTGGGATCATGACCCGAGCCGAAGGCAGATGCTTAACGACTGAGGCACCCAGGCGCCCAAGATAAGGAATTTATCTATCACCTCAAAAAATCTATTTCCCCACCCTGTGCCTGTTTCTTGATTTATAAAGCTAAGCAACATCTATAGACTCCTGCTCTGAAAGAGGATTCTGTGATTTTCTAAAGAAGATTTGGCCCATTCCTATTTTCATCTCTAGGGTGGATCGGGTTGGAGTATGTATGTCCTTTAGTTCAAGCATTGGGTAGTGGTCAGGCTAGGGCAGAGGGGACGAAGACAGAGCTGGGTTTGAAGACCCCTACTCTTGGCGTGAAGCCTGCAGGAAGATGCGCAGGGGCAAACACTGTGCTTTGTGCAGGTGCCCTCGGGAGACCTCTGTCCCCACGAAAAGGGCTTCATTGGGCAGGCGCTAGAGAATGCCACCTCAGAGGGTGTCCCAGGACCTCGCACTTGCGCAGACGCCCCGGGAGACCCGTGATGGGGCGCGGCTCCCCGGCTCTATCTGAAGAGTTGCCCTATTGTGCAGAGGGGACCCCAGGCTGGAGGGACAAACTCAATTATTGTGCATTTGCTATGTGCCACTACACTTACATACATTATCCCCTTTCATCTTTTTTCATTAATCTGTTTTTAAAATTTTGAAACAAACATGCAGAAAAGGTACGCATACAATACAAAGAACTGATTTTGTTTCCTGAACCATTTGAAAATAAGTTGTCAACCTGAACCCCTGCATTCCCCGACACATTGCTGTCTAAACAGGTGCCTTGTCCACAACATGGCCATCAGTAACCTTCCTACTGACCTGCTCCTGCTTTCACTTGTCCCACTCAGGGTCCTTTGTAGCAAAAGGATCCCAGTCAGTAGTGTGCATTGCACCTACTTGCCACGTCTCTTCAATCTGGAAGGATTCCCGGTACTTCCTTGATTTGTATGGCTGACCTTTCTGAATACGGCAAGGGCAGTGAGTTTGCAGAATGCTTAGAACATCCCTGTCCGGTGTCACAGAAGAGGTGTTATGTTCTCATTGCATCTCATCTGACGCCGTGGCACGTTCACTCTTCACTTGGGCTGGGTCCGAAGTGGGGGGGCGGTGCCGTCCCTCCACCCTCCATCCTCACCGCACCCTTGCTGTGGGGCGATCCTGAGGCATCCTGGCCGGCTGCCGGGCGCCACCTAGTGGCCACTTCCATCTGGTCCCTGGGCTCCAGCCTGCCAGTGTCCCCGCAGTTGTATGTGAGGGTGGGGTGCATCTGGGGACGGCCCAGGTGGAGTCTGGCTGTCAAAGGCGCCTCTTCACAAAGTTTATGTCTGTATTTCTCTACCTGCCCAAAACCGTGAGTTCGCACCCATGCCTCCAATTCTAATTCAACACTGCAGGATTCATTCTGGTTCTTCCATGTTTCTAACCCCCTGTTCTGATAGTGAGAAAACTGGCTCCCATTATTTTCAGTGTGTTTACTGGATTGATCAGTGCTTTGTGATTAATCTCGCCTCCCCACTGCTGCCTGCCCCCCCCATGCCTGCCGGCCCCCCTTGGGCTCCATCGCTGGGGTTGGCTGGGTGCTTTCCTCTTATACTGTAGGCCTCTTACTCTGCGTCCGGTGCCAGGCTGTCCTTTCTGGAGATGCTCATATCACCACGCTTGGCTCTGTCCTCCCGTGACAGGGTGCCCCTCTGTGGGAACGCCCTCCTGATGGTGCTAGGGATTAAGTCCTCCTGCTGGGCCACCCCCTCCTCACTAGCACCACCCCTCTTCCTCTGCCTCCCGAATCTAGGACTAAATTCTTCAGGAAGGGAAGAGGGTGTGTGGTCCTGTTAACCTGAATGACGCCTGGGATTGCATTTCACTTTATAATCACAGTTTTACAGTTATAGTGAAAGATACAGACATTTGTGCTGGGGCGATCCATAGGCATGTCTGCAAAGGGAAAAGTATAATTAGAACGGTGAGTCACATCAGAGGGAGCTTTTGTCTTTGTGGTGGTCACAGAGGGCAGCGGGACTTGGCCGTGCGGGTAACGGGCAGCGTGCCCGGCTGGAAGCAGCAGCAGCAGGATGGGGGGGGGGTTGCCCCCCCCCCCCCCCGTGGGAGGGCACTGACCCCAGCTCTCCCCTCCCCCAGATGTCTAGGCTGCTGCAGAAGGATGCTGAGCAGGAGGCGCAGATGAGAGCAGAGATCCAGGACATGAAGCAGGAGCTCTCCACTGTCAACATGATGGATGAATTCGCCAGATACGCCAGGCTGGAGAGGAAGATCAACAAGATGACGGATAAGCTTAAGACTCACGGTACTGGTTTCAGCTGTAGTGTGGAAAGCTTCATGGGGGCGGACGACTAGAGAAGTCTTTTTATAAAGATTGGTAGAATACATGCTTTGATTCTTAGATGTTCTAAATGTTGAAAGGAACTTTTAAGTTTGTCCAAAAGAAACTCAGTAGTCATGACTACTTTCTCGTTATTTGCGGGTGAACCTTTGCTTCCTGAACACAGAGACAGCATCCTCTTAGCTTTTCTTCTTGTTTCTGTAGGTAGGCGTTTTCAAATTAAATGCTTCTCTTTCTTTCTTTCTTTTTTTTTTAAAGCTTTTATTTGTTTATTTGTCAGAGAGCGAGCGAGCACAAGCAGGGGGAGCTGCAGAGGGAGAAGCAGGCTCCCTGCTGAGCAGGGATCCTGATGTGGGACTCGATCCCAGGCCCCTGAGATCATGACCTGAGCTGAAGGCAGAGGCTTAACCATCTGAGCCCCCCAGGCGCCCCTCAACACTTTTCAAGATAAGCCTAGAGAAAGTGTCACAGTGGATGCCCAAGGACTTTTGTGAACACTCTCAAACGCGCCCCGAGTGTCCTTATCCGAGAATAGACCGACAGGGTCAGGATCAGGTCTTGTTCATCCCGGTGGTCGCCACCGTCCCAGGCTCCTGTGATGAAGACGTTTCCACCCACGTGCTGGGAACTGGCACAGTGAGACAGCCTTCTCAGGCTAGGAAGACATGTGGGGGCCCCCCCAGGCCCAGGACAAGCTAGGCTCCCACGTGTGGGTTAGCGTACTGTGTAGACAGGGAGACCTGGGAAGCAAACGGAGTCCTGTTGGTAAGTACACTATAAAAAGAATCTCTGGTGTAGACGGATAGTTTTAAGGGCGTTCAAAATTAAAGCTTCAAATCTTACAGTCCGTGTGTGATTCTGTTTTAATGAATGGCATCCTGTGTGGTTTTTAAGAAACTCTGTTTTGTGTTTTCTAAATATACTGAGCAAATGTTACACAACATGATTAGAAGATATTTTATAAGCGGAGAATAACATTTCTGTGTATTTGAATATTTTCCTTTTTCTTCAGGACTGATACAATGATTTCATCCTGTTTTTCCTTTCAGTGAAAGCTCGGACAGCTCAGTTGGCCAAGATAAAATGGGTTATAAGTGTTGCCTTCTATATATTGCAAGTAAGTGTACTATTGTGTCACCTGGAGTCTTTAAAGTTGATAATGGACTGCCCTCCGGGGCTCTGCGGCCCCCAGAATCCAGGTCTGAGAGTTCAGGCTTTTCCACTTTCTGCGGCTGCGCTCTCCGGCTGGTACAGGACCAAATGCTGTGCGTTTATTTTATTTTATTTTTTAAAGATTTTATTTATTTATTCATGAGAGAGAGAGAGAGAGAGAGAGGGGCAGAGGGAGAAGCAGACTCCCTGCTGAGCAGGGAGCCCGATGCGGGACTCGATCCCAGGACCCTGGGATCATGACCTGAGCCGAAGGCAGACGCTTAACCATCTGAGCCACCCAGGTGCCCCGAATGCTGTGCGTTTATAAGGTAGACTGAAAGAAAGCCTCTCTCTCTCTCTGGTTTTAAATTGAAGTACAGTTAACGTACAGTGTCCTGTTAGTTTCAGGTGTGCGACATAATGAATCAGCAATTCTCTACATTGCTCAGTGCTCGCCATGATAAGTGTAATCACCGTCCCTCATTGGGCACCGTGACCACGATATTACTGACTACATTCCCTCTGCTGTACTTTCCATCTCCGTGACTTATTTATTTTGGAACTGGAAGTTTGTACCTCTTAATCTCCTTTATCTACTATCCCTCTACTCCTCTTCCCTCTGGCAACCATCAGTTTGTTCTCTGTATTTATAGGTCTGCTTTTTGTTTATTCATTTGGTTTTTTAGATTCCACATATGAGTGAAATGATACGGTATTTGTCTTCCTCTCTCTGACTTATTTCACATAGCATTATACCTTCCAGATCCATCCATGTTACAAACAGCAGGATCTCATCCCTTTTAGTGGCTGAGTAGTATTCCACTGTGTGTGTGTGTATGTGTATAAATGTATATAAATCCACCACCTCACCTTTATCCATCCGTCGATGGACACTTGGGCTGCTTCCATATCCTGGCTACTGTAAATAATGCTGCAGTAAACATAGGGGTGCATGTAGCTTTTCAAATGAGTGTTTTTGTTTTCTTTGGGCAAACACTCAGTAGGAGAATGACTGGGTCCTATGGTATTTCTATTTTTAACTTTGTGAGGAACGTTCGTACTGTTTCCACAGGGGCTGCACCAGCTTGCATTCCCACCAGCAGTGCACGAGGGTTCCAAGAAAGTCTCTTGGGTTGTGAAACATGGGGGTTTTTCTTAGCACACGAATGCTGGGGTAGCTTCTCTGGGGCTCTTTCACATTGCCTTTGTTCCAGTGCAGTCTGGGGAGCCTGCGGGGAAGTGAGAGAAGCTTATTTAGACGTTGTATTTTCTAAGGTGGTCAGTTTGGGTCATTGCTTGTTGCGTGGCATGCAGACGTGGAAAGTGCTGCTCACTGTCCAGGTGGGGACCCCCCTGCTCCTTAGAGTCCAGCACTGTGGTTCCCAGCTGTCCTGTGTGGGGTACGAGAGCTCCCACGGAGCTGTTCCTGCTGCTGCTTTCCTCGTGGGCACGCTGTGTCCACGCTAGTGGCTGCCACCAGTGGCTCTGGGTTTCCACGCTACGTGTGGTTCTCACTGCACTAAATGCCTCGAGCCGGCCCGCGAGCCCGGGCCGTCTGGGTGCATTGAAGTACGCTCTCCCTGAGGCCCTGTCCCTCTGACGCGGGTTGGTGTCCCAGGGGCGGGATTGAAGCCAGACTTCCTCTGTTAAGTCTGCTCATGTGAGTGGCTTATCCAAGGCCACAGGGTGGGGGAAGACAGCGGAAGGGAGGCTGCTTCGCTGCCACGATTTAGACTCACAGGGCCCCCTCCACACGCAGATGCCAGCACTGTGAGGGGGGGCGGTGGAGAACAGACTAGTGTTTCAGGGATCGTAGAGGCGTGAGATTGCTTTTGTCACTAATCAGGTGTACTTATCGTAGGCTACCCGCTTGAGGGAGATGCTCAGTGAGAAAAGAATACCTTTGTTATAGGAGACCTTGGTTAATTTCTCAGCTCATTTAATAGCGTACATCTATTATTCAGATTAAAACAGTAAAATAGCAATTCACTAAGAAGTCTACCCCACTTGGCAGCAAGTGTGTTCTAGGTGTCCTGGGAACTAGTCTCTATTTATTTATTTATTTTGAAAGATTTTATTTATTTATTTGACAGGTACAGCGAGAGAGGGAACACAAGCAGAGGGAGAGAGAGAAGCAGGCTTCCCGCTGAGCAGGGAGCCTGACGTGGGGCTCGATCCAGGACCCTGGGATCATGACCCGAGCCGAAGGCAGACGCTTAATGACTGAGCCACCCAGGCACCCCGTGAACTATTCTTTAATTAAACAGACACTCTGTTTCGGGGTGCCAGCAAATTAGTGGCTGTGGGGATGTGTCTGTGTCCTGCAAGGACTGGATTGGTGGGGCTTGAAGTCATCAGTTTGGAGAGTTTCCTTAGTGTGTTTGCCCGTCTCTCCTCCTCCTTGGGTTACGGGGTATGTGGCCGGCAGGTTGTTGCACTCACCAGCACTGTCTTCGCAGGCTGCCCTGATGGTGTCGCTCATCTGGAAGTATTACTCTGTCCCCGTGGCTGTGGTACCGAGCAAGTGGATCACTCCGCTAGACCGCCTGGTAGCATTTCCTACTAGAGTAGCAGGTAAGAGTTTTCTGGAAACCAGAGCAGAAGAATACGGATAGGCTTCTGTAGACGTGTGGGGTACAAGGTGAAGGAACCCAAGCTCATCCATTGACTAGTGAGCAGTACTTTGTGTCTTGGCCTCACACAAGGCTCACAGTGAAGAAACAGGTCTAGAGAAGTTACTTACCTTGTCCACTGTCACTGAAATGTTAGGTAGCAGAGCTGAAGTTCACCCTGGGTCTGCTTATAGAATGTCAGCCCATACCGTGTCTGATACCCTGTTCATTGAAACCCCGATCTCTAGTTCCTAGGTTCTGTGACCTCTCTTCATTTCTTTCGCTTGGCCTCTCTCCAGCATGTCCTGCTCTTGGTCATTCTTTTATTTTTGACAGGTAATAATATCCTTTGGGTGTTAAAAGTAGTACATATTGGGCGCCTGGGTGGCTCAGTCGGTTAAGTGTCTGCCTTCGGCTCAGGTCATGATCTCAGGGTCCTGGGATCAAGTCCCGCATCGGGCTCCTTGCTCAGGGGGGAGTCTGCTTCTCCCTCTCCTCCCTGCTCATGCGCTCGCTCTCTCTCTCTCTCTCTCTCTCAAATAAATAAATAAAATCTTTTAAAAAAAAAGTGGTACATATCATTGTAGAATGATTAGAGATATAAGAACAATTTAAAAACATCTCATAAGCTATAGATAACCTCTCTTAACTTTGTGGTATGTTTTTCCACTCTTTTTTTCTATTTATTTTATACAACTAAGATCATCTGGCACATACAGTTTTAGACCACTTTTTACTTTATATTGTAAACCCTTTCCCATGACATTAAACTTTTTAAGAAATTTTGAATAACTGCTCTTCGTTGGGATATATCATGATTTACTAATTCCCCTGATAAAAGATACGTATTTAGGTCCTAATTCCTTACTATCAGGAATAATGCTGCATGCCGCACACATCCCTGTCATTCAGCCTTTGGTTGTGATCTGTTGCTGGAGGTGAGTTACTGAGTGAAGAGGAGTGACTTTCAGAGATCCCAGTTTCACCACGCCCTCCACCCTGCCCCCTCCTCTCCCCACCCAACCTTGTGGGCACCGTGCCCGTGGGCTCTCAGTGCTGCTGAGCAGGACAGCATGAGGACGCCCTTGCGGGCATCTAGCGGGCCATCGGCCACTCCTGCCGCCTGCCTCCCTGTTTCGTCATTACCAGCTGGGCAAGAAAGGCATGGGTAGGCACTGCTGTCTGGGTTCATAATGCTTTTTTGAGAAGGAGAAAGTCTTACCGGGCGGTTTTACGGTTTGTTAATGTCATCCATAGCAGTGCACATGTCCAGTAGCTGTTGTGTGTGATTCCTGTTCAGTAAGGAGGGCAGCCCTGGGAATCAGTAGGAGGCCTGCTGAATTCGAATCCAGGAAACACACACCTGGGCTTTCTTAGCCGAGCACTGCAGCAGAAGGGTTGACTTCCTGTGAATTAGGGTAGCAGAGGCAGGGAATGCGGGCGGGGCTGTTGGCGTGCTCTTACGGGGAGCTTCTTTATTTCCAGGTGGCGTTGGGATCACCTGCTGGATTTTAGTCTGTAACAAGGTGGTGGCGATCATGCTTCACCCTTTCAGCTGAAAGAAGACAGTTGCAACTAGGACATTTTAGGGAGTGGATTTCCACTGAGTAGGTCACAAATCTGATTTATACTTTTTTTTTTTCCTAAGGAAACAAAAGCACACAGGTTAATTTTTTTGTTGAATATGTTTGTTCTTGGATTTTATGTGAGATATGAGAGTCACGATTTTGTACACTTGTCACCGAGCTGGAAGGCCAGGCTCCCCCACGTGTGACCTGGCCAGCAAGTCCCAGGTTTGTTACAAAGAGGGGCCTTGGCGGCACGTCACTGGGGGTGTGCACCATTGGCGTACTTCAGAGGTCACATTGCCAACTGGAAAGTCAAAATTTTCTAACTTAAGTACTTTAAAAAGACTTAGCACTATTTTTGATCCAGATTAGAAAGCGATTTAATTGTAATACCACTACCAGAGTTTGAAGTTTCCCGTAGTCCTACTAAAAGAGTAACACTAATTGACATTGCTTGTGTGGTTTTCATCCTCTGTTTAAAAGGTCATATGCGAGCCTGCGTATAGTATTATCTACTTGTTTGAAGTTGTTAACTTTTCATTACTGTGTTTTGTAAATGTATTCATGAGATCATAATGCATTGTTTCATGCTTGAATTGTGTTTTATATTTAAAGCATTTCAAATGAAGTGTGTTTTATAAGCATTTAATGTTTATGCTCTGTAGAATGGAACAAAGTTAAAAAACAAACTAGGAATTCTGATTAAATTAAAATGAGTGGATACATTTTTTAAAACACTTTTTTTTTTACTGTTGTGTTGCTTTTTTTTTGAATTCTAAATGAGAGATAACATTATATTAGTTTCAAGACTACAACGTAGTGATTTGATATTTGTATACACTGTGAAATGATCACCACAGTAAGTCTGGTTTCCTCATGTAAAACGCACTTTCATAATTAAAATTTTTGCAAGGGCTTTTGTGACTGTTCTTCCTTACAGCCCGCTTACTTGCTATGACCAATTTGTAACTGTGACAAGTGACGAAGGACTTTAACTGTTAACTTTGGTTGGCCACAGCCCCGTAAAGCTAAGTTCTGTCACTGGTTTTCAAAAGGTCACATTTGTATTCTTGAGTTCCCTAGCGATCTCATAAGCAGCTCGTTGTTAATTCCACGACTTGTACTAGAGAAAGAGTGCTGTGGTGCTTTAGTTCATCATCGTCAGCGGGGTTCCCGGCTCTTCATTCCGATGTCCCCAGCCCAGGTTGACTTTAAGAGAGGATGTGCAACAGGGGTCACGGGAGCACTTAGAGCAAAAGCATCAGAGGGCAGACCTGGGCCGCCAGGGCTGGGGAGGGCTGCCCTGAGGAGGCAAAGGCAGTGGCATGGGGGAGCTGCGGGGTCCAGGCGCCCGCTGCCTGCGTCAAGGGCCCGGTGTGCAGTGAACGCTCGGTGGCCACACGCGGCCTGCCTGGGGACATCCTTGGGTCACTACTCTGTACCCAGTCCCCCGACAAGAGCCTTCTCGACCTCCTAAAGACCCGTTCTTTTAGTTCACACTCAAGATTCCGACAGAGCTCACAGCGGCCAGAGGAGAAGACGCACGGTTAACAGCTGGGGATCTTGCCACATGCAGCAGCAGTTGGCAAGGCCGACGCAAGGGACATGTCAGTGTCCTTCAGGTTTTACATCACTGTAGGTTTTCAAAAATGGTATTTGTTCTTAAATAGATAATAAACATGGTACTGGATTCAAAAGCTACAGAAAGGGATACAGTGGGAGGTAGATCTGACCCTTGACCATCGCGTCACCCCATCTTCTATTACCGGTTTCTTATGATTCTTCCAGCGATATCCCATATGTAAATGAAAAATTGTGTGCATTTCTAAAATAAAAATTTTTTTTAAAAGATTTTTTTTTAAAGATTTTGTTTATTTATTTGACAGAGACACAGCAAGAGAGGGAACACAGGCAGGGGGAGTGGGAGAGGGAGAAGCAGACTCCCCGCTGAGCAGGGAGCCTGATGCGGGGCTCGATCCCGGGACCCTGGGATCATGACCTGAGCCGAAGGCAGACGCTTAACGACTGAGCCACCCAGGCGCCCCAAAATTTTTTTAATTATACAAGTAACACATAAAAAAAATAGTAACTGTTTGCTGGTTTTTTTTTTTTTTTTTAATTCCTACTTGGAAACAAGGAAGCAAAGTCTCCCGTATCCACAGGACTGGGATTGCTGGTGTTAACGTGTGTGCTTTAACTTTTCTATTTAGGTATGGACAGCGATAGGTTTTGGGTTTCTATGAAAAAATACTGGATATAATTTATGGCTTTACATGAAGATAGACACCTGTTTGATTTAATATATCTAAAGTTCTCCTTATGCCAGTTTTGTTTGCTTTACGTGTATGGTAAATCAAATCAAGCGGGGAGATCTTTATACACAAACCCGCACAGACATTGTTGTATGGGGTTAATACGCTTCTGTTGCCGCCACAAGGAGGCGTAACGCTAGTCGGCTAGTTCACTCTCCCTTGAGCCGGCCACGCTCTCTGGTGTCCCATGGTTTCTCTTACACAGACACAGCTCTCAGTGGGGGCTGTGTGTGTGTGCGTGTGTGTGTGTGCTGAGCCTCCCCTGCAATCTGTGTGTGTGTGTGTGTGTGTGTGTGTGTGTGCTGAGCCTCCCCTGCAATCTGTATGTGTGTGCTGAGCCTCCCCTGCAATCTGTGTATGTGCTGAGCCTCCCCTGCAATCTGTGTGTGTGTGCTGAGCCTCCCCTGCAATCTGTGTGTGTGTGTGTGCTGAGCCTCCCCTGCAATGTGTGTGTGTGTGCTGAGCCCCCCTTGCAATGTGTGAAGCCCTCTCTTAATCATCTTAGATGATAGTGATTTCTTTTTTCTTCCTCTCCTCGTTGAACACCTTACATAGTATCAATGTGACTGATTTGTCAGCCAGTTTTGTATTGACGTGGGCTGTCTGCTGTTGTGTGGTTTTGTTCCTAATGTTTTAGATGCTTTTGTGTGCATGTGTGATAAAGGATTTTTAGTGATGCTACAAGTGCCTTTTGGGCCAGAGACTGTCCCTTAGGCTTTTTTATTCCCTTCCCAGCATGTCTTAAGTCAGTACCCAGGAATATTTAACTTAAAAAAGAAAATCACATAATGGCTTTCCACTAGGGCCATGTAAGTCTTTTCCAGGGAGTATCTTTTCTTCATAGTTGAGGCATTACCGATGAACAGTTACTAGAATTTTCTAGGATGCTCTTCTCTTATAAGTCCTTCACAACAGAGTCCTTTGGTGGTGGTGGCAGATCCAAAGCTGTGTGTGTTGCTGGTTTGCACACTGGTGTGGGTGCCATCCTCTTTTGGGGCTCTCTTGTTTGTGTGGGTTAGCTTTTCTGCTGGCGTATTTGGCATGTAAAGAGTATGCATCCCTCTTTTTATTCTTTTAAATTTTACTTTATTCTGTTATGTTAGTCACCATACAATACATCATTCGTTTTTGATGTGCTGATCCACGATCCATTCTTTTCGTATAACACCCAGTGCTCCATGCAGTACGCGCCCTCCTTCATACCCATCACCGGGCTAACCCATCCCCCCACCCCCTCCCCTCTAGAACCTTCAGTTTGTTTCTCAGAGTCCATCGTCTCTCATGGTTCGTCTCCCCCTCCGATTTCCCCCCTTCATTTTTCCCTTCCTTCTCCTAATGTCCTCCATGCTATTCCTTATGTTCCACAAATAAGAGAAACCATATGATAATTGTCTTTCTCTGCTTGGTTTATTTCACTTAGCATAATCTCCTCCAGTCCCATCCATGTTGACGTAAAAGTTGGGTATTCATCTTTTCTGATGGCTGAGTAATATTCCATTGTATATACGGACCACATCTTCTTTATCCATTCATCTGTTGAAGGGCATCTCAGCTCTTTCCACAGTTTGGCTATTGCGGACATTGCTGCTATGAACACTGGGGTGCATATGGCCCTTCTTTTCACTACATCTGTGTCTTTGGGGTAAATACCCAGTAGTGCAATTGCTGGGTCATAGGGTAGCTCTATTTTTAACTTTTTGAGGCACCTCCACACTGTTTTCCAGAGTGGCTGTACCAACTTGCATTCCCACCAACAGTGTAAGAGGGTTCCCCTTTCTCCACAACCTCTCCAACATTTGTGGTTTCTTGCCTTGTCAATTCTTGCCATTCTAACTGGTGTAAGGTGGTGTCTCAATGTGGTTTTGACTTGAATTTCCCTGATGGCTAATGACGATGAACACTTTTTCATGTGTCTGTTAGCCATTTCTATGTCTTCAGAGAAGTGTCTTTTCCTGTCTTATGCCCATTTTTTGACTTGATTATTTGTTTTTTGGGTGTTGAGTTTGAGAAGTTCTTTATAAATCTTGGATACTAGCCCTTTATCTGTAGCGTCATTTGCAAATATCTTCTCCCATTCTGTGGGTTGCCTCTTTGTTTTGTTGACTGTTTCCTGTGCTGTGCAGAAGCTTTTTATCTTGATGAAGTCCCCAAAGTTAATCTTTGCTTTTGTTTCACTAGCTTTTGGAGATGTATCTTGAAGGAAGTTGGAAGTTGCTGTGGCCAATGTCAAAGAGGTTACTGCCTATGTTCTCCTCTAGGATTTTGTTGGATTCCTGTCTCACACTGAGGTCTTTCATCCATTTTGAGTTTATCTTTGTGAATGGTGTTAGAGAATGGTCCAGTTTCATTCTTCTGCATGTGGCTGTCCAATTTTCCCAGCACCATTTATTGAAGAGACTGTCTTTTTTTCCATTGTGTATTTTTTCCTGCTTTGTCAAAGATTATTTGGCCATAGAGTTGAGGGTCCATATCTGGGTTCTCTATTCTGTTCCATTGGTCTATATGTCTGTTTTTGTGCCAGTACCATGCTGTCTTGGTGATCACCGCTTTGTAATATAGCTTGAAATCTGGCACCATGATGCCCCCATCTTTGTTTTTCTTTTTCAACATTTCCTTTGCGATTCAGCATCTTTTCTGATTCCATACAAATTTTAGGATTGTTTGTTCCAGCACTTTGAAAAATGTCATTGGAATTTTGATCGGGATGGCATTGAAGGTATAGATTGCTCTGGGTAGCATAGACATTTTAACAATGTTTATTCTTCCGATCCATGAGCATGGAATGTTTTTCCATCTTTTTGTGTCTTCTTCAATTTCTTTCATGAATGTTCTGCAGTTCCTAGAGTATAGATCATTTACCTCTTTGGTTAGGTTAATCCGAGGTATCTTATGGTTTTTGGTGCTATTGTAAATGGAATCGTTTCTCTAATTTCTCTTTCTACAGTTGTGTTGTTAGTGTATAAGAAAGCAACTGATTTCTGTGCATTGATTTTGTATCCTGCCACATTACTGAACTGCTGTATGAGATCTAGTAATTTGGGAGTGGAGTCTTTTGGGTTTTCCACATAAAGTATGTCATCTGCAAAAAGAGAGAGTTTGACTTCTTCTTTGCCAATTTTAATACCTTTTATTTCTTTTTGTTGTCTGATTGCTGTTGCTAGGACTTCTAGTACTATGTTGAACAATAGTGGCGAGAGTGGGCATCCTTGATGTGTTCCTAATCTTAAGGGAAAGACTCTCAGCTTTTCCCCATTGAGGATGATACTTGCTTTGGGTTTTTCATAGATGGATTTTATGAACTTGAGGAATGTTCCCTCTATCTCTATACTCTGAAGAGTTTTAATCAGGAAAGGATGTTGTGTTTTGTCAAATACTTTTTCTGCATCAATTGAGAGGACCATATGGTTCTTCTCTCTCCTCTTATTAATGTGTTCTATCACATTGATTGGTTTGTGAATGTTGAACCACCCTTGCATCCCGGGGATAAATCCCACTTGGTCGTGGTGCATGATCCTTTTAATGTATTGCTGGATCCTATTAGCTAGGATTTTGTTGAGGATTTTGGAATCCATATTCGTCAGGGACATCGGTCTGAAATTCTCC